CGGAAGGTTTTATGGTGAATGAAGCGATGTGCATTGGGTCGCACAGCAAAATCGAATGTCTGACAGCAAAAACGTCTGAATAAAAGGAAAATTCTTCTTTAATGCGAGAAGTGTTGGGTGTAAACTGAATGAAACACATGTAGTCAACATAATCAGCGATCAATCAATGAGTGAAGAAAGCAGGTGTTCACCGATATATAAAAGTTCCGCTTGATTGTAACATCAATCGTTGAATAACAAGCCACATTGTGAGGTCTATAATTTTTGTAAACACAGAGTGATAAGCAAAGTATTTTCACTCTTCCTGATCGCCCTGATCTTTGCTGCAATGGCAATGGCCGGGCCTTTCGATGGTAGGGGAGGATGGGGCAAAACGGCCCCCCTTCAATCGTCAATATTTTCCGATTCAATAATCCGATTGGGATGAGTTAGAGCTCGTTTTGAAGAATGAAAAATTATCTTCAAAATGAAGTCGAAACTGGGAATTTTCACAATGTCATTCACAAGTTATTGACAATTGAAGGGGGGCCGTTTTGCCCCACCCTCCCCTACAACCCAACGAACCTGCAGTGAAATTGGTCAACTCGTGAGTAGACGTTTCGGAAAAGTTGAAAATACGTCGAATGTTGATACACGTACAAAAAAAATTGGTAGAAAACCTGGCGGATTTGCTAGAAAATTCTATTGGAATTTTGTTGAAAAATTCTATTTCTTTTTGCGCTGATGCTATTGGATATTCGATAAGAAAGAGTCAATAGATTTCGAATTTCTGTTTGATTTCCTCTGCTGAGATTTTTTCTATGAAAATGCTTGGGCATCAATTTTCAAGAGAAAAATTCGAACAGAAATTAAAAATATATTGACTTTTTTCTATCAAATATGCAATAGAATCAGCGCAAAAAAATAAGTAGAATTTTTTAATAGAATTGCAACAGAAATCCTTTAGAAACCCCCATAGAATTCTTATAGAATTCCAATAGAATTTCCCACCGAATTCGCTAAATTTTCTAAACAAATGTTTCTTTCTTACATTTTCAGTGCCAAACGGAAAGTGACTGCTGCAAACCGTACCGCTGTCTCGGATACCGAAGGAGATGTGTCACATGAGATGAGCATTATCAAAAACTGTGCTGTTATTACACGGATATTTATAAATTAAAATGAATCACATTCGTTTATTACGATATTTCACCATTAATGCATCAGAATCCAGTGATGAATAAAAAATTCCTCATACAAAGTTAATGGTATTGACTTTTCATTACAAATACCGTTACAATTTAGGTTACAGATGATGAATTGAGAAAATTATTCCGCAAGTATTGATCAATTATTTTTATTTCGTGAGAAATCAGTTGCAAAAATTTTAAAATCAACTGACATCTTTCACATTTTGATTGATATTACCTTCAGCTGACCTAGTTCTTGAAATTTATACAAGTTTTCTTCATTAAATTCATTCAATTGTGAAGGTAAGGAATTGTCGATATTGATAACAGAAATGTGTCTCATAAGATGAACATTCTCTGCAATTTCACTCTTACTAAAGATTTATAAATTGAAATTTATTTCAATTTATGAATCAGATTTATAAATGAAAATAAATCACATTAATTTATTATGAAATGTCACCATTAAAACATCACCATCCAGTGATGAATAAAAAATTCCTCATACAAAGTAAATGGTGCTGAGTTTTCATTAAAATACTGTTGATATTTAGGTTCCAGACGATGAATTGAGAAAATTTTTCTACAAGCATTGACCAATTATTTTTATTTCTTTTGAAATCAGTTGCTAGCATTTTGGAATCAATAGCATTCGATTTGTGGCATTATCTACGATTTCGGTTGACGTTCATTGACACCAAGCAATCATTGATCAACTGTTATCTTTCACATCATAACCATCTGCCGTAGTTGATTACGATGTGAAGGTGACATTGACACTAGTTCCTTTAATTCAATTAATTATGAAGGCATTCGTTTGTGAAGGTAAAGTTGTATTGATAGCAGTCTCCAGCTGATGAAACCTTATCGTTCAACCCATGGAGGATATCGAAACAATATTTGTCACGGGCAGGTGTTGAACAGAATGATATACATCAACCATTCATGACGATAAATTGATGATTAGAAGAACCGAATGTCACTTGCCGACGTATATAAGCTTCGATCGTTAACAGCGATCAAACCTCAGCAATTGCGCGTTGGATAAAGAGACAATCAGACAATTTTTTCAAAAACAGAATCATGCGGCAAGTATTTCTGCTCCTTCTCATTGCCATGGTTGCTGCTACGATGGTGATGGCCGATGGAAATGGTCATCATGGGGAGGGCGATGCGTGCAGTAAAATAGGAGAACCGGTAAGTGAACGTGGAGAAAATTATTTGGGGAATTTCATCAACTAGTTGTTGAAAAAATTAATTACCAACTCGTTGCTGAATTTTGACAACTAGTTGGTGAATTTTAACGAGGAGCTGGTGAAATTCAACAACTAACTAATTAAAATTCAGGAAAGATTTTTCAATTTCATTCAATCAGTTTTGAATCAGATTTAATATCAACTGCCTTCGATTTTTGTTTAGTGTATGTTTTCCGCGCACTGTTGCAAGCCATTACAGTGCCCACGCTGGCTAGGTGAATGCGTCGATCCTAAAGACGATCGGTTATCGAGGTAGAAATGACGACGGAGCACACATCATATCGTTATGTATTAAAGTGATTGTAATGTATAAATTCTCGATTTAATAAATAAATTATTGGAACTAATTCGATGTGACATTTATTGATATGCGGAATAGATGGACGATCTACATTTTCAATCCTTATGAAGCGAAGACCCTGATATTGATGAGTTTTCAATCACAACCCGGCCTGATACAAAAGAATCATCTTTGAATTGAAATACCCATCCCCCAATTGAATTATCGCCTTCTGTAATACAAAATCTATGCGCGCGCTCTCGCGCGCGCTGATCTATTCATTTGTTGAAATGAAGGAATGAAATTCATTGAATTTCATTTTCCCATGAATACCTTATAAATATTGATAATGAATCAAAGAGAATTCGACTAATGATTGAACTGAATAGCGAAGTAGAGTAAAAGAATCTATAAAGATGTTTTCATTTTCAATTAATTATCTTCAATTTTTTAAAATGATCGGTCTCCATAAAAGGACAGAATTTATTAATTTCATCGATAGTATATATACATGTGAAATATATATATCATATATATATGACGTGAAAAAAAAATTTACCTCTGAAGAATTTGAAAATGCCGCGTGTTTTTTTTTGTAAATAACTTCGTGTCATATATTGACCAATCAGAATTAAGGATTAGCGGTCAGGCAGTTTCGAGATATTTCGATATAAAACAACTTCACGTTTCGTTCATCTTTAGTAAATAGGATATTTAAAAAAATCGCTGACTGCAACGATTACTTACAAAAGATCGACTTTGAAATTTCGATTGTTCCGCTCTTCCGAGAGAAGATGATTAGCAAAATCAATTAAACAGACTGTACATCCAATCTTGTGCTATTTTTGGAAAAGGCCTCGCTATCGGTGATACACCTCTCTTACCGATAATCATCACGTAATAATTGATAAATGAACGATCGCCAAATTGATATCATCCACAGAACTCCATATAAAAAGAGCTTGGCGTCGTTATCCAGAAGTCAGTCGACAATCGAACAACGCGCAACATTTCAAGGTGTACAGTCCTAAAAAGCACAGAATGACGAGCAAAATATTTCTGTTCCTCCTCATTGCCACAATGGCTTTCGCTATAACAGTGATGGCCGATAAGGACAATATAATTCCACAGAAGTGCAGTGACATTGGAGAATATGTGAGTACGCGGCTTCGAAACATGGAAAAATATCAGTCATGAAAATAATCATTTTCTCCTTGTTCTGTTTAGTGCCGGACAACGGACCAGTGCTGCAAACCATATCGCTGTCTCTTCTATTTTGCGAGATGTGTCACATAAGACCAGCGACCGACCAGTATCATTAGTAATTAACACTACCCATTAATTACTCACTACCAATAGTAATTAATTACGGTGAACAATGAATGAAAGAACTTATAAGTATTGTTATCGAAGAACTGTTATAAAAGTAGGTTATACTCTATCGCTATCAAATTTCCTGATAAATGTGTCATGATCCTGTCGTAAATACAAAATTTACTTATCCAAAAGAAATGAATGTTCCTTTCTCAACAAAATGCAATTCACTATTGACCAGTTTTCAATAAATATCTCGAAATCGAAGGGAGATAGCAAAATTTTTGATATAACCTTTTTTGTAGAGCCGATTGAGAGCTACAACAAATGTAATTACGAAAATTTCGCTATCTCCGTTAGATTCGGAAATATTCCTCAAAAACTCAATTGGGAGATAAGTTGACTTAAACCGGTTTACCACTTTGCTAATGAATTCCTTTGCACCTTCAGATATATAAAACTGAGGGCTTCCCCAACTAAAATCAGTATCATTTTCGCACTTTACCAGAACCTCTTCTCAAACAAATCTCAAATAGAAAATATATCCATTCAGATCTGTCACAAAACTTGACAGCAAAACAATTATTCCTGAAATAAATATCAGTTTTATTTAATTGATAAACCCGTGTGAGTGAATTAATTTATCGGGAATCCAACATCAGCGACTACTCATTGCCAATAGTAATTAATAATGGTGAACAATGAATAAAAGAACTTGAATTCTTATCGGATAACTTATAAAAGTAGGCTATACTGTATCGCTATCAAATTTCCTCATGTGTCACGATCCCGTCACAAATACAAAATTTCCTTATTCAAACTAAATACTGACTTCTGTTCATTTATCAAACTCGCGTTCATCGTATCAACCTCACTCTATTCTGAGAAATCTGGTGATTGCTGCTTTGTGCGTGTAGAACATAAACAAACGCTGTGTATACATGTTACGTTCAACTGGAGGATAAATCTTACAGTCGCAGAACTCAATTCTCGTATAAATGCGTTCCATCACGTCTTGGCCGTTCAGTTGTGGTGTAACCTTCCAGCGCTCTGTACCGAGACTGAGTCAATCTTAGTGATTCTATCTTCGTAAGTATTGCATCCCAACTTTTTGTTTGTTCCATCTGTCGTGCGGTTATCGGCGCAAAACCGTTGATTATTTTGACTGCATTGATTAGTCGGTAACTGACACACGGAGAGAAAAATTCAATAAAGATTACCAGATAAAAACGTAAAAATCAAGTTTTGAAACGGAATCCGCGAGCGAAGTAAAATTTAATAAAAAGTGTGAAACGGAACTGAAATCGTACGAATCGCCACGTAAATTCTACGATTTGTTCCGTAAAAATTAATCAGCCGTCTGATGACTCACCGCTGTGGGGACAAGTCGTTCCGTAATTTTTCCCCAACGATTGAGAAATTTTACGGAACGGAACGTAGAAATAACTCACCAGCTTCATAAAAATTGTTGAACGTTCACGAATTTTTGATTTTGGAGGCACAATAAGTCGGCAAGTTTCTGTAAGATTTTACTTCTTCGGGAAAAATGACGTGACAATTTCGTACTTTGTTCGGTGATGAACCTGAAAATTCACTGAACGTTTCAGATTTCTTCTCTTTCATTCCTATAAAAATTGCCGGAAGACGATTCTCCATTGCGGATTACGTGAATTGTTCCGTAATTTTTACTGAATATTTCTCTCCGTGCAGAACAATTATCAATTGTTATCAATTGTTTCTTAAAAATGGAATGGGACAGTGGAATATTCAGTTGACGCTTGCTATCGTTAATTAAAATTAAGTGGTCGTGTGTGGTAGAGCGTGACACACGTAACCTTCTCATTCGGGCAACCTTGAAGGATACATTCGCTTGGAGTGAAATAACGGAATGTGCGTAAAGAATTCGCTAACGAAGACAGAGATTCACCTTGAGGGTTGAGCAGGGTCTCGCAAGGTCTTGCTCTCGGCCATGGTAATCGCAATGTTGTCTTTACTATTGTGAAAGAACGGAAATTCAATAAAAATTAAGGATATCCAAGCGTCTTTACAATTTTTTATCCAGTGAAATGCTTCTCTACTTTTTTAGTCGAACATCAGAGCTTTCATTCGAGTCCCATTTGAATTTGAATCTCAGTATTGAACTGCTAGAAAACGTCTTAAAAATCTGAAAAAATTAGAATTTAGTTTTGGGGAAAGTTTCGTGAAATAATTTAACAACTGCAATTCTTGAAAATTGCGAGGATTTTTTATAAATCATTTGTAAACAATCAATTTATCCTAAAACATAAGATTTCCGAAAGTTTGGACAATTTCAATTATTTATTTATAAATAACTAATGTTTAAAAAAATAATAATTCGGTGGAAAATGTAATTTGCATCATGCTGAATAGTTATGGTTTTTATTTAAATTTTTCTCACGCAATTTAATGAAGAATTCATTTTTCGATAATAAACGGAGCCATTTATTTAATACAAACACCGTCCCAAATAACAAAATATTTTCAATTTAAAGGAAAACTTTATTTCCTACTATTTCAATAAACTTATTCATTTAATTCAAATAAATCATTTCCGGATGTGTCCTATGCACTTCCTTCTGCAGAATTTGATCTCACTCCAAATAAATGAAATGCACAATATTAATTAAATTTCCCCAATTTCTAGCTCTATCGATGATTATTGAATTCATCCCACTCAAGATGTCCAAAGTATTGTTGTTTGCTCCCATAAAAAAACGTCAAATAACGGATTGTGACCCTCTTGACCCTCGCACGTGGTGTCCACCTCCAAACAAATGAAATCCACAAAATTAATTAAATTTCTTCGATTTCTAGCTCCACTGATCATTATTGAATTCATCCCACTCAAGATGTCCAAAGTGTTGTTGTTTGCTCTCGTTGGCCTGATGGCTGTCACACTTATCACGGCCCGCTCCACTGATAAACAGTCAGTTTGCACTGTTGGTCGACACGGTGACCCCGTGAGTAAAAACAGATACTCAAACTCCGGAATTTTATCTCTTACCAATACGAATTCAACTCTCACTATTCTTAACATTCTGAATTTTCAGTGCGTATCGGTGAGTCAGTGCTGCCCCGGTCTGAGGTGCAACTCCTACGCCGGCAGGTGCCAGGTGATCATCACTGCTGAGGAATTGATGGCACAGCGGGAGAAAATTTTCTCGAAAAATAAGAACAAGAACAAGAGTTCAGCCCCTGGTGCCTAATATAATCGCATAATCATAAGTTTCTGCTTTGACAATCAACTCTGTCGTTAGAATCTCAAAGATCAATTGCCTGAACTAATCATTAGCCTTGTATGATGAAGAGAAATTAGATCCTGTCGATAATTTGAAGCTCGCTTCTTTTAATTTTCATTTCCCCACAGCCGATTTTATGAATAATAGGCGGTGGTATCGAAGAGATGCTTTATCCCACTCCGGTATTATAAGCTGATTGCAGCGAGGGGGCTTATCTTATCTGCAGCCCTTCTGAAGTCCCCAAGTTCCAGCACGAAAAATCGAACGTAAAACTTGAGAGCAAAACGGTCAAGCGTCAATATTTGGGTAGATCGCTTAGTCGCCTCGACTTGGAACGAGGCCACGTGTCAAGTGATAGTATAATTTGTAACTTATCATTGATAAGAAAATTTGTCGCAGTGGATGTGTGAACAGAGGTGACAGCGAAGCTGAGTCATACGCGATAGCTGTCCGCACACTGAGAGAAAAACGATGGAGTACCGCAAAAATCAATTCTTGAGCTGGGAAAATAGCATAATTATTTGGAAAATGATAGGTTTCATTTGCTTTCAAGTGGGTTGAATTAATTCGTCTTTAATACACTAGCTTTCACAGCTGCAGATGTCACATAGAGAATTTTATCTCAAAACTATCATTTGGTTGTTAATTTTCAAATAAACATGATTTCGTAGTGAATCCCAGTTATCTCTTCTTGAGATACATTTGATAGGGAGAAATTGAACTTCCCTAGAATTGAAGTTCCTTTTATTTGTCGCGATAATGAGAGTATTTGATTTCTGTCTAGCCAAAAGTTTGCCAACTCCAGAAATTCGTTGTTTACTCAAAAATCAAAATTATTCTCATGACTAAATACGTTGTTATCTTAATCAACACGATCATACGTTGTTCCAAGTAAATTATAATTGAAGTGAGCATTTCGTATGTCGAATCAGGATGAATATTGTTACGCGGAAAAAGCTTTGAGATTGTAGTAAGATGTCGTTGAGTTGAAAGAAGTTTATATTTCTTGACTAAAAATAATCGCATTAGTTTACAATAACAGAATCACAGATTACGGCAATTCAACACAAACTTGGATATCACAAATTTCGTTCAATGTGATGTACGGAAAGCTCAATTTAAACATCGGCTTCATTCGAGAAAACAACATTCAATTCATTCCTCAATGTAATCATCTCCTAGTTACGAATTTTT